ACATCTCTCGCCCTGTACTCATTGCGACTTTCTCAAACATTTCAAACAAAACGTGGCCCTTTCCGTCAGACTTTATCACCCATCAAACAACTCGTCATGCCATAAATCAATTTACTCACTTCTGAGGATGAGTCTTCCAACCAAAAAACCACTCCCCTTTTCCAACAATCCAAAAGGGAATCTCTTCATAAACAAAAGACCCCCTCTTCCAAAAATCACGAGGGGTCTCGCCATAAAACAATACATTCCGTCTTCCAGTAATCACGAGGGTCTCATCATAAACCAAACACCCCCTCTTCTCAAAGTCACGAGGGGTTTCGTTACATCACAAAACATCATAAAACATCCCCCCTTTTCCAAAATCTAAGGGGGTCTCATCATGAAACAGAACATCACTGAGAGACCATCTTATGGGTCCTCATCACAACTCAGATAACTTTCACAGACGGACTGTGCTTCCTCCCCTTATACTCTGCCTTATCAGCTGTCGTGGGCAGGTCGCACAAGTATACCGAGGAGTAGACAGTTTTACTTACAATCATATTCACAATACCCAAGATACATAAAAGGTTTTTCACACATTGTCCACACAAACTCATCATACATCACAGTACAACCACACATGTGAGAGAGACAGGTGATCGTCACATATAAGAATGGTCCCTGAAGGAAACCTCATCATAATATACACTAAGGGAGTACAATGTCTCACACAAAAATTGTCCCCAAATGATAGCTTGCTCAACTCAAGCCATACCAAACCCACACTGACAACTACCCCTAAAATACATGTCAGATCTGTCTCTCAAAGGTCAGGGCGTAGGCCACCTAAATATGTACATGCCTCATCTTTACTCACCCTGATCCTCAAGATCCCAACTCAGTAGAAACACTAGAGCTCAGATCTAGACTAACAGTAATCATCAAAATGTCTTCTAAGTCTGAGAGGGTATTACTCAGAACCTAAGTTGATGCCTCACAAAATGCTTGCTCACTTATATAGACAAAACCAGTCCTACCTCCTCAACTCCTCCTGGTTTTGCCTATATAACTGAGCCCTAAGTCCATCTGCGGACTTCTCTACTATCCTACCCTGTCTATCATACATTTTACCCCCTACCTCTGAGATCTTCCCTGCTGCCTTATCCTCAAGAAACTCGAGACAGTCCAAAGCCAGATGCACATCCCTTTTGCAGTAAAAACATAGCTGATCTACCTTTCTCTTGAACTTCCTCTTCCTGGGCTGAGGAGGTGGCGATGAAGGAGATCCCACCAAGGTACTGACAACCCCTTGCTGCTCTGTTTGAGGAGCTGCGGTACTAGCCACCTCCTGCTGCTCTAGCCCAGGAACCGGTCTACCAGACCCAGATCTAGTAGCCCAAGATCCTAGCATGCATCTCAAATCCTCTGTCGCTGGGACGTACTCGGGCGTGTCCAACCTCTGAGGCCTCTTCTCGAGTGTCGCCCCTGGCACTGCCGTGGGCTGCTCCTCAATCTCCTCTGGTCCTTACTCAGGTGTGCCTATCCTCTGGAGTCTGCCCTCGATGGCACCCTCCTCCTCAATCCCCATCTCTCTCTCAAGAGGCTCCTCTATCCTCTGCTCAGGTGAAAACAAACTCACCTCCTCCTGCATAGTATGCACCGCCTCAAGGAGCACGCCCATGGATCCCTTTGCCGAGCCCTGAGCCGGCTCACTGCTAGATGGTGGCAACCCCTCCTCTACTGCCAAAGGTACGACTGGGCCTGCCGCCGCCACCGGCAGCATCGCGAGCTCAGTAGGGGCTCTAAACTCGAACGCCTCTCTCTCTGCCTGTCTCTGGGCTCTCGCCTCCTCTGGCTCCAGGATAACTCTCCCCATAGGTGGCTCCTGGCGAGGCTTTGTCGCAGATGGCTGTCCTGACAATCCCTGTCCTGGCTGCCCCTGGTCTTCCTGCCCAGCCGCTCTCTGGTATGTCCGCCTTTCCCTTGGTTTGCTGCCTCAGGCTCTCAATGATAGCTGCCTGGCTGGCCACCAAAGCCCTAAGTTCCTGAATTTCCATCTCCATAGCCTCCAGA